CTTCCACTAGCCATTGCGTTGTACATTTAGAGCCTTTTTATGTGTGATCATGGGATACTTTTCATGAGCAGACAAAGGAAAGATAAAAAGAAAAGAGTGTCATTGTTCCTATTTTGACTGTTGTCATTTACACGTCTTTGAAAGATTAGAGAAATGAGGGTTGGCACAATGTGCCAAGAAAAACACTGTGTGATATGAAAACAGAGAAATAAATTCTGGGTGTGCTACAAGTTGAAAGGAGCATAAATTGACGGGCAAGTGAAGTGAAGCCACAGAAGAAAGAAAAGCAGGGCTCCCTCAAGGTGACTAATGGGTTCCACCTGCGATACAACATGGGGTACCTCAAAAAGAAGAGCCGTATAGGAAATTGGGAACAAGACAGAGACAATCCATAGGAATGCTTAAGGGTGTGAGGAGGCTAAACTGCAGTAAGAGTATGAACGTTTGCTATTTGTTTAACGTGGTTGGCAGATGACTAAAAGCGGGCTTGCTGTCTGTTTATAAACATCTGAAGGCTGGCTGTAAACATGGAAGCTGGAGCAGGACTGCGCACTGTGATGCTAACAGGATTTAACTTGAGACAAGAACTCAATGGAGAGCTGAAACGTAAATATCACAAAGTACTCTCCTCCAGAAATCCCTTCTCTTTAGAGGCTGCCAGGAAGCAGGTTTCAAGAGAGCCCAGGAGAGTGTGGCTCCGCCCACCTCACTTCTTCCTTGTAATGGACTAGTAGAAAGAAACCTTAAAGTCTGATGAGTCTGCACGCAATTACGCGGAGTGCGGACTGTTTATTTGTTGACTTTTAGACAGCCGGCAGCACTGGCACTTCAGATTCCCCTGTCTCCTCATTTGTTCTCCTAGTCTGTCATTGGTAGACAGTGGTCAACCTTGTTCCTATCGGAGGCTGGCCTTTAAAACTTCATTCTTCTAAAGCCCAAAGGATTTGGCTTAGGAGCTAAGGAGAAACAATTGAGTGACTGTAGTTTCTGAGACCTGGGTGTGCTTCCAGCTGGAGTTCAAAGGTACACTACCAGGGTGCTCAAGAGGTTTGCTGTGGAATTATTTCTCCACATATCCAACCCTCTGTTTTCTTTTCTTTTGGGGAGCTGTGGTGGCATGTGGTGTGTTATTTTACTTTTGAGCCTACAAATCTGTTCTTACTAAAACGATCGTGTTATTTTCCCCTTAAGGTTGCTTTCCAATGAAATTAAGATAAGAACTGTGTTTGGGGTTTTGCGCTCTGAGAGTGTTTTGTTTGTCTAATTTGACTTATACAAAACTACATGCCAAAAAGAGTGCCATATGCAACTGAAAAGTAAACACCAAATGCTAACTGTGGCTGGTTCCAACCCAAGAGGCTCAGAGTGAAGGGAACAGCTTGTAAGTGAATCTTAGGTTCCCACTGCTGTTTTTTTTCTAGCCCCCTGCCCCATTATCATTTCCTGAACATTTATGGATGTTCTAATGCCATGGAGGACTTGTTAGTGTTTTTGGAAATCTTCCTGAATTCAGCAGCAGGTGCCTGACTTTGGCCTTTTCTGTGTTTTCTTTCGGGTTCTTTGGGTGTGTCCCATCTTCTGCTCCTCTGACCTTCTTCCTTCCTTCTAGAACTTGGTTGGGCTGGCATGCTGGGCCAGCCAGTACTGCTGTCCTGATGCTACCAGGCCTCATATGAAGACAGAGAGCAGAAGAAAGGAAAAACAGGACAAGTAAGTAGCAACTGACCCAATCTTTTAGGGGAGCCTTTCATTTTAAATAATGCATTTATAAATTCATTTTTCCCCAAGTAAAATAACAATAAAACCCCTGGAAGATTCCAGCTCTAAACACACCCTTCAACTTTAGAGACCTCAAATACATTTTAGGAAAGACAATAATGAACTAAGAGTAACTTATAAGGCTGGTGAGTAGGCTCAGCAGGTAAATGTGTTTTCTGCTAAGCCTAAAGACCTGAGTTCAATCCCTGGGTCCGACAGGGTGGACAAGAGTGCTGACTATAGCAAGTTTTCCTTTCCCTTCACATACTTGCATTGACACACTAAGTCCCCCCCCACATACATGATAAACAAATTGAATTTAAAAATAAAAAATATGTTGACATTAGCTAGACCTCCCTCAATATTTCTCTCCAGTTATAGAAAGAGAGTGCTTTAAAAATATATTTTTGGAAAGCTGGGATTTTTCGGGAGCACCTGGAATATAGTACTTTAAACCTCTGTTTCTTAAACCGATGTGAGATAGTTGTAGATGGTATAGGAAAAAAAAAGTTCTACTATATAAACTCATTTATAGGCTGTCTTCTAATCTTTGATCTCTATTTACAGTGACAGTAAAAGATTTCCTTTTCAACGCCTGTCGTTGGTGGCACATGCCTTTAATCCCAGCACCCGGGAGGCAGAGGCAGGCAGATCTCTGTGAGTTCCAGGACAGCCTCCAAAACAATACAGAGAAACCCTGCCTCGAAAAACAAAAACAAACAAACAAAAAAGATTTCTTTTTCAAATAAACTTTTTAAGTAAAAGATTTAAAATGATAAACATATACCTACAACCATATTATGTCTAAATATACAACGACTACCACATTGTAGGTGATATGTCAATAATTATAAAAGTTGTTGAACAAATGCTAGAAAAGGCTCTGTTGGCATAAACAACACACACATTGCTTGCCTAGACAAACTTATGTTTCCTGTTAAACCTCTCTCAAAAGCAGACCAAAGACAGGGGAATCACTTTGTAAATACGGTCTTAGGAAATGTGTAAGAAGTTATGAGGAAGCAAAGTAACCTTGACGACAAGGTCAGTATGCTGAACAAACTTGGTTCAGAAGACAGCAAGAAAGCACACAGCCTTTTTCATTTTTATCAATGATTTATTAAACCATCAGATTTTAGTTATGAACCTTCCCATCTTTTAAAGAGATAAAATGAACACACAAAGTTTTATACCAAAAAGAAATAGAGTCTTTGTGACTCTTGAGGAGAATGCTACATAGAGTACCCCCCCTTGGTTCTTCTGAAACATTTGTTGTGTTCATGTCTGATCCACCCCCCTACCCCGAGACAGGGTTTCTCTGTAGCTTTAGAGGCTGTCCTGAAACTCGATCTGTAGACCAGGCTGGTCTGGAACTCACAGAGATCTACCAGCCTCTGCTTCCCCAGTGCTGACCAACCTCTGCTTCCCCAGTGCTGAGTCGTGTCAGATTCTAATACTGATGGACTCACTATTGCAGTTTCTCACTTGAGCACTTGAGCTGCCACGTACATATTAAAAAGAGTGACTGCTTTTCTGACAACCACTTACTGAAAGCATCTCAGAGGCTAAAAGTATAGACAGTCACCTGGTTCAAATATCACCTTTGTCAAGTGAAACCAAGTTCCCCCAAAATCAACAACAAACCACTTTGAGTTACAAATTTGAGACAGCAAAATCAATGAGGTTTTCTTGTCGATATTGTCCCCTAAGTGTACACTGACTGGTGCCTCTCTTAAAACTAGGAATGGCCTCTGGCTAGTGCTCCCAAAGCTACCACACCACCACCAGAAACCTTTCTACCCAGAGAACCAGAAAAGGGGAAGTGTGCTTGGCAGTGCTGGAGCTCTCTGAAACTGTGGGAGGAAGAGCCAATGAGCAGCTAGAGAGAAAGACCTACCTTTATCAGCTTAAACTGAAAGCTGCATCTTTTCCATTTCCTCCTAATCATTGTAGACAATGCCCCTGCTCATTAAAAACAAGTATTCAGGATGAGCTTTCTTTTGAACTCTGACATGGCTCCTGTTAGTAATATAAAACCAAGCTCAAGGGAAGGATGAACTCTGCTTCTGAAAAAGATTTCAGGATATAATTTAGTCGACAAAAGTCTTAAAACTAAATTTCTTCAAAGGGGACTGATTTCTCATCTCTGACTCCACATCCAAAGCAGACTAGGGGTTGGCTGGTGGATCACGAACTTTGTGACTAGAGACCACTTGGTTTGTCTTTGGGGGGAGCTATTTCGATTTTTTTGGGCTCTTGTTGTCTATTATACGGGTTTAATAGTTCTTAGGAAAATTAATTAAATGAACACAGGAGAGCAGTAAGTAATCAGGACAGTGATTGACAATAAATTCAAAATGAGTCAATATAAATTGTCAAAGTTAGAGGACAGATGCTGCTTTAGGGAAAGGTGTTATAATATGGGGGTGAAATCTGGGAGTTTTCTTTGCTTTAGTCCAAGAGTGTGATAGTTATTAGGTCTATCTGTGTGGAACGAAATCCTACATAGGTGCATAAGACATGCGCAGAAGGCATCGTCTCCAAATGTCATTTCAACAACGTGCCCTGTGCAACTCTGACAGGTCTTTGGAACTCAAGTCCTTGCTGTCTGACCTTTGGGCGCCTGGGAGGGATGCCTATAGCTGCACCCAGCCCTGGAAGGGGCCCAGGCACTTCCCAGGGCTGCCTATCTGCACACTGCTAACTCCTTGATGGCTCACATCTCCAAAGAAAAAGCTATTTCCCCAGGCCAGAGAAAGCTCCCAGGGCTGGTGTAGGGCGGTGTTCTGACTTTGTTGCAAGCAGGCAGTGTCCCTTTTGCCTCCTTTCTTGGGGTAAGTGGCAAGGAATTCCTTTGGGGGCCCGCACAGGCGACAGGGTAGCAAAGAGAGTACTGTAGTTAAGTCAGGAGACTGCTGCCTAGAAGCAGGTGGGCGACTGGGGAGCGCAGTGGCAGGCCGGTCCCTTCTTCTAGAGGCCGCTGCGGCCTGCGCCAGGCACGGTGGGGGCGGGGTGGGACGGCGCAGAGGGCGCGGAGATTACTGCGGCGCCACCAGAGACTCGCAAGGCCCCGGAGCCTCGGCTGTCCCCACGCGAGACAGCAAAAAAAAAAAAAACCGATGACAACAGGCACTTTCCCGAGATAGAATAAAAAGGAAGGGCTTCAGCGCTCGCCACGGTCCTCTGCCCTTCTGGCGGCCTGCCGGCCGTGAGGCCCCCCAGCGGCCACCCTAGCCCGAAGTCGCCTGCGGCGGCGACGTGCCCCCGCCTCTAGGCTCCCGCTCAGCGCGCAAGTGAGAAGCTGCCTGTGGCGCGGCGCACGCTCCGGTGGCTCCCGGCTTGCGCGCAAAACTTCCACCCAGTCGGTGCCGGGCGGCAGCTGCCCTAGAGAGGGGACCAGGCTGCGGGGACCTGCGGAGGGACGCCCGGCGCGCGCGCTTTCTCTTTTCTTCTGCCTGGCCCGCCGCTCGGCCGCCCTCCGGGACTTTGCCTCCTCTCCTTTCCTCCTCCCCCCTCGCAGCCGGCTCCCCCACCCCGCCCTGTTTCTCCCCCACTGGTGTAAGCTATTTGTTAGGGGTGGCCGAAAGGGATGTCCTGTTTTCACCAGAGACACAGCGCGAAGGGAAAACTTAGGCACTGGAAAGAACGAGAGTGAATACCCAGACTGGACCCGCGGATTAGGGGCTGGGACAGACCCTGAACTTCAGGAGCCCAAGGCGGTCCAGGCCGCCAGAGGTGAGTAGTACCCTCTCTCATCCAACTCGGTTAGTGGAGCCAAAGGGGTTCCAGGTTTGGAGGATCCCCAATCTGTCCCCTAGAAACTGCAAGAGACTTCGTAGTGCCTGTGGAGGCTCAGGGCGTGGAAGACGCGCGCTGGGGAGAGTGTGTGAGCCTTGGGGTTCTCCTGGGGTGACCTAAGACCGGTGTCTCACGGCCAGGACCGCTAGGACTTCAGAGGTGCTCTTTGCCCAGGGGGACCCTCGACGACCCTAAGGTCCCCACTAACCCCTCTTGTCTCCCCCTGGGCCGCTGCGCAGCGGGCGCAGGACCCGGATAGGTCTCTCTGAGTTCAGGGTGTGGATCCTACCTGACTGCACCCCGCCCCCGTGTCTCCAGGGGGCCAGCACCAACATTTCCCCAATCCCACTCAGTGGCATTTAGTACTTTGTGATGCCTAGCTACACCGAGCAAGTGTCCCCTGGAGGGTTGAGGGCGCCTGGTTGTGCATGAAGCTGGACGCGCGTGTACTTAGGGGCCGAGCTCCGATCTCCAGGTTCCAGGTACGGGTCGCCGCCTACACAGCGGCGACCGCACTTTAATAGTTTCTGTGTGGCGTGGACGAATATCTCCTGCAGTGTGCCTGGATCCGTGAAATTAGAGGCGCCTTGTCGGAGGAGTCGCTTTCATTGGCTCCAGGCGCGGATGCCATGGAGCGATTCTAACTTCTCCAAACGAGAGGACGGTGGTGGGGCCAGCAGGTTTCTCTCTGAGCCGGCTGGGTCTGGAGAGGCCACCGGACTCTTGTAGCCTGGAGAAATGGGACTCGGGGCGGACGTGTGAGACCTTCCATTTCGCACCGAATAGCAACCCAAACTTTTCATTTTATTTTTCTGTTAGCACTTTTTTGTTTTCTTTTCTTCGTCTTCAAGATTCAGAACCACTCTGAGAGACTGGGGAGTTTTTGACCCAGTTCGGTGGCTGAGCGGTAGAGAAACCAAGGCAGTGCTGTGTGATTTTTTTTTCTCACCCTCTCCTTGGTTGGGGTGCTAGCCCCTTGGTTCATCATGGGCATCCGTCTTTCATGGGAGGCTCATCGGGTTTGCGATTTGGGTGGGATCGGGGTGACCTCCTCCCCACCTCACAACCGACAGCGCTGGAGTCATTCAGGAATCCTCATGGACCAGAGGGCCACGAGGAAGGTGCACATCCCTGCGCCGGGACAACCTAGGTGGCTGCTAGCCCCAGGCGCCTGTGTGTTTTGGTTTCTGCGCAGTCCCACGTGGAGCACCCCCGTGTGCGTGTGTGTTGTGTACTTGATCTGTGAGGAGGTAACTGGAGTCTCGTGTTCAAACCCAGTGGGCCCTTGGCCATTAATTTGCTTTCCTGGCTGTCATTACAGACACTTCCAAAATCTGATACCTAAAGAGATCCAACAGGTTGGGTTTCACATTAAGAGCCCATACTTAACAGTTTTCTTTCTCCCTTACCCCCTTTGGCTCAGCACTCTGGAATCAACGTAATTGTTGGAGCGAAATACATCTTCTCGAATATGGCATTTTGTTGCTCTTCTCTTAGCGGCCGCCTTTTTGCACCTTTGGGCGTTTGTCAGTTTCAGCGCGGGCTCCTGGGGGACTTAGGTGGGAGTCTTTAGAAGCTTTTAACAACCACGGGCTCCGATCAACAGCTTCTGAAGTTTCATTTACCCGTGGGTGACTGACAGCATTCATAGTGGACCATGATTTTTTTGTTGCTTGTTGGGTTTTTCCTCTCTTTATTTTATTTAATTCTAATTTTTGTTTTTAAGATTTCTCTAGGACAAGATTTGTATTTGATACAACTCCCCAGTAAAGTTTGATATTTAAGCCGAAATGGTGCCTATTTTTTGTTTGCTTGTAAATAACACACACACACACACACACACACACACACACACACACACACACACACGCTTATACCTGAGAAACAAAAACTAGGGAGTCAGAAAGGAGAACATTCTAAAACAAAATAATTGGATGCATTTTATGGTGCATTTAAAGAGGTTTGCATCCATTTTTTACTTTAAAAAATAATATTTTCCCAAGAAATCAAAATGCAAAAGCAACGGCAGACTGTGTGTGTGTGTGTGTGTGTGTGTGTGTTGAAGGACTGCCAGAATCTTGAGTTTTGTGGCAGTAATATGCAACATAGATAGATTTTCCTTACTTTTTCAAACCAGAAAAATAGATTGTTCCACCTGATTAATGGTTGTAGGTAACTCAAAGATAAATACTTTTTTTTGTAATGTCTGTACATGAATGCTAAAAACATAGAAATAAAAAAGCTTTCACCAGCAGCAGCTTTGGCCATAACATAGTTGAACTGGCTTTAAACCTCACACTCTTACAGTTAAGGATCAAACTTGTCCTCCCACTAAGTGGCTATCTGAAATATGGTGGTTTTCAAAAGCCTGCTCGCCTTTGTGAAGCAGGTGAAAATAAACAGGTTTTCACCTTTTAAGACCACTTCATCAAAGGGAATTTCACAGTTATAAATGAAAAATGTATTCAGTTCCTTCCTCTTTATTAGTGTTTATTTCCCTGAACATTACAAACTTGACTTCTCATTTCCAAAATGAATCTGTACATGTGTATTCACATGTGGTAGTGTGTTAGCTAACACATTCAGATAAAATAGCACCAAAACCCTATAATTTATGTAAAAACACATCCCTTTAAGAAGAATTTTATTCTCATTAGGAAATAGAGACATGGGTGTGTAGGCATTTTCTAGAAGCTGGATGAAAAACTGTCTGTAGAAAAGTTTGTTTTTGACAAAAGATTTACAGGTGGGTGGTTTGCCATTTTAATATATATACACATATTCATCACTCTGGTTTTTAAAAAAAGTTATCCATCTCTAAATTTTCTTTTATTTATTTTGTGATTTATGGTGTAAATAAATTTCACATAGCAATGGGAAATACAGTGTCCAGTTTCATGTTTTTAGTCACCGGTGCAAGTTCTGCATGACTGATGCCATGTCTAAAAATATATTTATGTGGCTTGGCACTTCATTTATTAAATGTGATGAACCAGAGTTAAGTTGTGTAGAAATTTTGGAGGGGTTTAAGATGATAAAAAAATCTATGGCTGTTGATAGAGTTCTGGAAAATGCACATTCTAACTTTAAGATAATAAAAATAAAGTTTTTTTTTCACTGTCATGAAGAGGAAGTCCACAAGTTTTATGCAGAATTCAAGAAGAAAGATAATCCCTTTTGAGATTCATTGAAGTGCTAAGCAATTTAAAAATTGTGAGCATTTATTATGTTTTTGTATTATCTTCTCTCTCTATTTTCTGTACTGGGAAAATTTAAGAACACTCAACATTCACTGAAAACAGGCCCCCCTTTACAGGGAGTTTTTCACCATAGTTCTGTACTGCAGCTGCTGATCATATTTCACGGAGTGTTAAAGCACTTAAAACCTAAAATTAGGTACTGTCTGGTTGTAAATATTTCAGATCACTCATCTAAGAAACAAACAGAAAAGTCTGTCATCAAAAGTATGGACTCCTACATGGAAGAGCTGGGCAAACCTTTACCAATCACTTAGATATCTTCTTGGTGAGAATTAAAACCCTAACAGTTTCTTTTTCAAATGAATATTAGCCTTCCAAATTCCCAGCTCTTACACTGTGTGTCTCAGCAGAGTATCTTAAACTAATTGTATGCAGAAGTACAGTCGGGGTATTTTATTACAATGGTTACTAGGTGAAGGAAATCAACACCACCCGGAATGGATATCGGTGGTGTGTACAGGCTCCTCTCATGGAATTTTCCTGGTGAACTTAGAAACGACATGCTTTTTCAGGCATTTGTCCTCCAGACGGGTTAGGGACAAGAGCGTGTTGAACTGTTCCTATGTCCGGTGCTGCCTTTCACAGCTTGATGTGTGTGAGTGCAAGGAATTGAATATTCATTAAATTGTGCACGGAGCCAAGCTTGGCGTCATTTAGCCAGGACTTGAGTGGAAGAAAATAAACAAGAGCCACATATTCCAAAGTATCACAAACCACTTTGCTGGCTTTAAGAGGTCTGAAGACTTTGTAAACATTACTGTCACTTAATATTGCTGGGGCATAGCACATTAGTGTATGCCCTAGCGATGTGTCACTTTGCTCTAAACTCTCGGTGTTTTGTTGTAGAGGGGTACGGAGAGTGAGAAAAGCAGTAGCCATACCCTCCTTTCTCTTTTCCAGAAAAAAGATGAAACTGATTCATTTTTAAAAACAGAAACGGTTTTGAACAGCCCAAATCACATTTATGGGGAAGTTTAAGACAGTTTCAAAGAGGTGACTCTGGGTCTCACATAACCTTTTCATCATTCAAAGTTGCTAATTGATCTTAGCACTGACCTAATAGTGTAGTCTGATATTTGAAACCTTTCAGTATTGGTCTGGCCTTTTTCTCACCCTCCGATCTGAGTGCATGTCGATAAAGAAAGACACTGTATTAAAAACATCAGAAATGTTTTTCTGCAGCAAACATTTTAAGATACATTCATGAGTTAAAACATTTTTACAGGCAGTAAGCTACTTTATTTTAATGTCCTTTTGAGCCATGGAAGAAAGAACCACGTTGTCATATTAGAACAGTTAAGACTATGTGATAAATAGTTTTGTTGGGTTGGAAGACAATGTTTGTTATCCCTTTTGAGTGTTTTCAAGCTGCAGTACAATGGTAAACTCATTGTACCAGTATAATGTAGATGTCATGGAATTTAGTATCTAAGATTATATTTTCCGAAGTATGTTTCTATCTTAAAGCATGCTTTTAAATAAAAAAAAAACAGTTACTAAGGGTTGCCAGATAACTCTCAGTGCAAGTCAACATCCTATGGGTTCATCGTGACCTTTCTGACTGGCTAGGTAGCAGCTCTTTTGCACAGTTTGTGGGGTTAGCTAGTCTTAATCCTTTCAATTATGCTGTGAATGAATGAAGTGGATGCTTTTATGCATCCCATTTTACTGGTGAAA